CTCGGGACACGATCCAAAAAGTTCTAGTAAAGAGTTTGACCCTAGTGATCCACTAGTCGATGACCTTTCGAGTGATGATTCTGACTCACAAGCGGATCCCGAAGAGTCTGAATTTCCACCGTCGATTTGTGATGTTAACGAAACGAAAGGTCCTAAAGTGCTAGATTTCTTAGCCAAACGAGTGAACGAATCGTTCACCTCGAAGCCAATGGAGGATAGAATGAAACCTCTTGTGGATAAATATCGCACTCCCGAAAATTGCGGGCTATTGTGCGTTCCACCAGTAAATACTCCACTTTGGAACGAATTGTCCCACAGGGCCAAAACGGCCGACTTAGGACTTCAAGAGGTGCAAAAATCTGTTGTCAAGACTGCCCAGGTAATAGTTTCACTTACTGAAACTGTGATTCAAGCCAAGAAAAAGAAAGAGCTAATGAATCCTAAAGATCTTGTGGGCTCGTTGTCCGAGGCCATTTCTTTCATCGGCAATGCCGGTTACCAAATGTCATTAAAGCGCCGAGAACATCTTAAACCCGAGCTAGGCAAAGGTTATAAATCATTGTGTGCACCATCCACTCCAATCTCGGAGCTTCTCTTTGGCGACGACCTGTCAAAGAATGTAGACGACATCTCTAAAGCGAACGGGATTGCCACAAAAATTACAGGAAATGATCGAAGTGGAGGCAATCGAAAACGCAAACGCGAAAACTACAAGCCTAGGGATCATTTTTTATCCCGAAGAAACCCGAGTTCATCTGCTCGGGACAATCGCGACAACTACGAGAGCTACAAACCACAACGCCGCCCGTTCAACCAGAACAAACCCCAAACCAAAACACAAGATTCATACAAGGACAAGTGACCAATGTAAGTGTCACACCTTCTATAACAAGTTTTACAATGGCCGGCAATTTAGCTCTCAAGATTGATGAATGGTCTAAGATCACTTCTGATTGCTGGATTTTGCAATCAGTCAAGGGTTATCGACTCGAATTCGAGTCAATCCCGAAGCAATTCAGAGCCCCAAAACAACGCTCTTTACCCTCAGATGAGTGCGTGTTAATCCAATCTGAAATCCAGAAGTGATGCTCTAAAGGAGCTATTGTAGAGACTAATCATTGCCCTAACGAGTTTATCTCTACTTTGTTTCTGGTACCGAAAAAGACAGGTGATCTTAGACCAGTTATCAATCTTAAACCTTTAAACGAATACGTTCGTAAGATTCGCTTTAA